ACCCCCTTTCTCCTCTTCTTCTCTTCCTCCTCTTCCTCCTCCTCAGATTTGGCTCTCGTTTGCACACTTGTTGTAAGTCGCAGTCAGCAGCAGTGTGGCACTGGCACTGGCACCAGGCACACAGCAAACATCCCCCTGTCGCGCCCGTAGTCGCCTGCCACAGTAACCTCCCTACCTACACACCACATGCATGAACGTAACCCTTGAACACCCGCCCGCCGTGAGTGCGCAAACGATCAAAGAGTGCGTAGTGTGGTGGATGGCCTTGGGGGAGTCTCAGCCCGGCCCTGCATCAGCCTCTATAGCACTGCAGTCGCCCTATAAGTCTGTTTGCTGTCTACCACCCCCCGTCTCATTGTCCGCTGCCTTTTCCATCGGTGCTGTGCCTAGCAGAGCAGTGTACTGTATTGCACTGGACTTGAATAGACTTCATTCTCCATTCGACTCCAACACACTCCTTTCCCATTTCCCACTGATTCTTCTTCCTCCCGTACATCTCGCCACCTGCCACTTCAATGTTGGCCTCGTCCCGACCCCAGCCATCCACCATGCAACCACACCTAAAGCAAGAGCTAGTCCAACTCCATCATCATGACAACGACGGCTACGGGAACCTCACGCACCGCATGGAAAACGAAGAGGACGACCAATTCGACTGCGATCTCACCATCCTGGATTTCCTCGTCTACAAGGCCACGGGTTTAGTCTTTGAGTGGAGGTCGAGCAGTGACCCGTTCCACTCGGACTTGCCCAGTGCCCTGGTCAACATGACAGCCGGTATGTCCGATATCACCCATCCCTGCCCTTAGTACATGGTAACCACTACTCTACTCTACTCTACTCTCCATACATGGTCAACAAATTACTGTCCATAATAATCCCAACCACACAAAGATAGGGATATATCTACAGCACCCTTGATATCCCTCCACCAGATGGACCCTGACATCAAATCTTGAACCCAACTAACAACAACCCACCAGACTGGCGCACCTTTCTCGCCCACAAACACCACGGCCGCCACCTCACCCCCAAAGCCGCCTTCCGCTCCCGCCTCCTCCAATTCGCCCTCGTCTTCACCCACCGCCTCCACCACGTCCAAACCTGGACGACACCCGACTCCCTCGCCGCCCTGCACGCCCAAAACCAAGCCCGCGCCGAATACTGGAGCCAACGAACCGCCCACCCCCAACCTTTCCCCCCATCCTTCACCTCCTCCCAAGACTTCCCCCACACATACTCCACGGCCGTGTCGGTTTGCGCACTTGCCTCAATGGAAGGATCTGCATTCTGGTACGACAAAGCATGTGGTGCGCACGAAGCGAAAACGGGAATATTAGGATCTATTTGCGTAATAGCGCAAAGACTCCAAAAAGTTGTCAAATGCTAAATGGGTTAAAGTGGTTAACAAACTTGTACTTGTCGGATCTCGACATCTCCTCCGCGCCCATCGCTGCCTTTGTTCCTATCCAACTCTGAGTAAAGGACATCGTCAGTACAGATAA